AAAAATCTAAAACATTTTTGCGGAAAATAATAATATAAACCTCAAATATGAACTTTAAAATAGGGAAAATTACATGGATCAAATCACAAATCCTGTACCCATATATAATACTATTTAATTCATGTCAGCATCTTCTATAATTGAAAAGAAAATAAATCTGATCCATTAAAACAAAATCTAAAAAATTTAAAATTTGATGAGTGAATAAAGCAAGAGCCCCTTTTGACTTTCGAGGGAACCTAAATCCAAGATTTTCCACCCCTAATGTTTTAATGCAAAACAATTACTTTTTTCTTCACATCACAAGATCCAAGAAGAAAGCATTTTGTGAAATTAGATGCATACTAAGAAACAAATACGTAGTAATAAATGAAATCTTTCTAGAAGAATCTGATGCATATTAATTCACTTTTACACGCATGATCCTACATATATATGAATCATTCTGATGTGAGATCACAAACAAGAGATCAAAAAGGTTCCCAATATATATAAGCATGAAGAGAGAGAAACAATGTAATACATATAATATATATAAATATATATTGTTGTGGGCATAGAATATTAAGAAAGAAAAATGGAGGGGAAGAAGGTGATAAAGTCAATAATGGTGATGTTTTTGATGTTACAAGTGGTGGTGATGGGAGAATGTGAAGAAGTGAAATCATCAAGGCATGAATGTTTTGAGGGTTGCATGGGCACATGTGTTAAGTGCTCTCTTCAGCGCAGATGCCAGCACCAACAACTCCTCACACATCATTCCAACATCAAATCTCCCTGGAGGTATTTATAACTTCTGTTCATCTCATTCCATCCATTTGTATTAACAATGTAATGTAATTTTATGCTCTCTCCGATTATTTTCCAGAGATGATTTGCCTCTATTCTTTCTGGAAATTTTTTGTGTTATTTTCTGCTTTTGCTTTCGTTAATGATTGGCTAGCCTAATTTTATTGATTAACTATTTATTCATTCTCTCTTGCTCGCTCCTTTGTTATCGTCTCTATAAACAAGAGTGACTGTATATTTTACATATTTATTATCTTTAATTAATTTTAGCCCCTTTTTTTTAATTTATGTTATTCGGTTATTTATATGTTATGAAAAAGACTGGAGAGAGCACAAAAGAGAACATGTTTTTTATACGTGTGTTGTATGGAATAGTGTAATTAATATTATGTTACAAAAAATTAAATTGAACATGAGATTTTATAATATATTGATTTCTTATTAATTATTTTTTTTCTCTTTGTGATTTTGTTTCGCAGGTGTTGATCAAATTTCAAGCTGTGCGGGCAGATGCGTAAATGGATGTTTTTAGAAATATATAGACAAAAGCAACGAATGTAATCATCTAAAATAAATTAAGAAAATTATATGTATTAATACTCCTCCGGACCTAATTATAGAACCCATTTTGCAGTGTAAATCATCAATCATCTCAATCAATCATCAATCATCAATTATATTCTTGAAAACTTGTAATACCCGATTCGTTTGAAAATGGGTCGAGTATGAGATTATAGAATCCGAATATATTCAATTAATGAGATTTAAATAACATTTTGATTGAAATTTGAATATATTGAATTAAATAGGAAACATTATAAATAAATCAATTACAAATAGAGATTCAAATTAAGAAATTAATAAATAACTTTAAATTTGAATAATATCTTAATTGAAATTTGAATATATTACATTACATGAGGGTATCATAATTAAATAGTATGCCAATAAGAGGCTTAATAGAGAAATAAATAATAATTTCAAATTTTTATCTATTCCCCATAAATTCTGCGTCTCTAATTTAAATTCCATTAAAATGAATAAAAAAATATATTCCTATTAGAAGTAAATTTTAAGCTATCTTAGATAATGTAATTTATTAAAATTTTAAATATAATCAAATATGCTAATCCGTGATAAACTTCTAGTTACACTCTAAAATAAGTCATATATTTAAGATTGGAGGAGTACTTGACATGATTTGCAATAAATACATAAAATTACATGTTAATTTGCGTCTTAAGAAAGCAAAATTTCTTCTTGTTGTTGTTCATCAAGTTCAACGACGTGCGAATTTACTTTTTTTTTTTAAAGGTTGAATTTGAGGAAATAGATGAGAAAATTGAATTTAACTCATGTAAATTACCCACACAAAAAAAAGGTAACACTTCATTTTAGATCGTGAGAAATGCCATTAAGTGTGTGTGTGTGTGTGTTTAAAATTAAAACCGTTGAATGTAGTTAAAATTTGGTTTTGACCAAAATAACATGAGAGTAATTTTATTTCATAAGTTGCAAAATCAACTTTACAACGTGTTATTAAAAAAGCTCCGGTAATTATCTCCCACAAAATTTAATAAATTATCAATAATTCCTTTCTCATTTAAATTTGGAGTTTGTCACCAACCAAAAAAAAAAAAAAAATTGGACCCAAACATCTATACCTCACTGTTTCATATTATTTTCACGCGGTAGTTAATGCATGAATTTGTTTCAAAAGTTTTGCTTAAGGTAATGTTGTTTTGAAAATTGTTTCGAGTTTAATGTTGCTCGAAGGTTTCAAAGTATAGGAATGCCTTATTGGCACCTTGTCACAAAAACTAACATTCACCGTTAAAATTTTGTTTTTTAATCTTGTTATGTTCATCTGAATTTTCTTTGTTATTATGTCTGATTTGGATGTTGTCCGATATAATTGGGAGCAGCTATTTCAACATAATAATATTATTCCCAATTCATCTTAAATTTACATGGATTATAAAATTTAATATAATTGAGATATTAAAATTTTCAGAAAAAAAAGTAAATTCATTTAGAATTTAATGAAATGCCTACATAAAAACTATAGATAGAATAATAGATAGAATTAAACCATTGCATTAGAAATAAATAATTCTGTTTCGATTTGATGAACTCTGACGCTAAACTCAAGCAAGATTAAAAGCAACGTTGCTGAAATGAAAAAAAGTTAAAATTTAAAAGTCTAAACTAGGCAATTTCAAAACACTGGACACCTGACAGTTAAATTCACCCTTAAATTAAAAATCTGATCCGTTAATTTTTTTTTAACATAATTGGATCCATTAAAATCAGAATCTACACTATTTAAAATTTGATGATTAAATAAAGTAAGATTGGGATCTAAATCCAGGATTTTTCTTCCCCTTATGTTTTAACTTTAATACAATCTGCAATTTTTTTTTTTTCACATCTCGGGGTCAAACTCTAAGAAGGAAGGATTTTATGAGTTAGATAATCACAAGGATTTTCCATCCCTTAATTATCACTCTAACACCAATCTTTTAAAGAAAGCTCATGAATGAAAAAAAAAAGCCTTCTCTGCAAAAAAAAAAAAATCATTCTAGAAGGATCCAATCCACCAACTCATTTTAGTATTATGCAACTATCTTTCTGAGCCTATATAAACCATCCTTAGGCAAGTCAAGAGTTCAAAAGACCCATCCACAGCATATATAAGTTAAAGTCCTAAACTAGAGAAAGAAGAGAGATCAATTTCAATAATAATGGAGGGGAAGAAGAAGATGATAAGGTCAGTAATAGTTGTGGTTTTAGTGTTACAAGTGGTAACAGGGCAATCTGAAGCAATGTCATTCTTCACATGTTTTGCAAATTGCATGCCACAATGTTTGGCCAGTGGCAAACTAATTAACGTGGCCATCTGTTCTGCTGGCTGCATTGCTCAATGCCTTCACCACCATGAAAAGATCTCTGATGATTCCCAGTATAACTGCGCTTTGCCTTGTGCTCAATCTTCTTGTGCCTCCATCAGTACTCCTTCTAACACAAGTAACTACTAATTCTAATTAGTATCTCTTCTTTTATATTCAATATTCTTTTGTTAATTATAATCATACATACAATTTAACAGTCCTGCATAAGAACAAATATAAATTATGATCATATGTATGTGTTTGTTTAACAATTTTGCAATTTTTTTTTGGCAGATGCAGAGCAAGTGTCAAAGTGTGTGGACGGCTGCGTAAATAGATGTGTTTAATTGGACTTTAGTCTTATGGGGGCTGAAATAAAAATGTAATGGGCTAAATCGGGTATTATTAATAATAATAAAATGCATTAGTTAGTATTTACTGTGATGTGATAACATTTTTCACTGTATAACTCAATAAAAATGTTAGTTGCTAGCAATAGTGATCAATTCTAATTATTTTTGCGACTATGAGAAATAAATACTATTTTCGATTCTAAATATAAGACCCAGTTGATTAATTTGATGATATTAAAAAAATTAAATAAATTATTTAAGTATTTATATTTATCATTTTTCTTCAAATTATTTTGTCAACTTATAAATTGGTAGATAATCTAATAATATGCGCAAGCATTTCAAAGAAATAATGTAATATATATATGATAATTAGATTTTTTTAAATTAGTTAATTAAATTATATATTTTAGTTGCTTATTGATTTCCATTCCCATTATTCCTCTCCCATTTCATGAGATGCTTGTGTATCTATTTGAAATAGCTTATAAGTAACTTTTTAACCGTGATTTGCAGAATACAAGATAAGCATGTAAAAAGAATTTTGTCTCGACTTATATAAAATGTGCTTATAAATACTTTTCAACGTGATTTCAAACAGATTTTGTATCTGGTGTTAAAATGCTACTTTTTTTGTCTTTAAATTATTCTTCACTTTCACCCTTTTTTAGATATTTTAATTTTTAAAGAAAACATTGCATTACTGGACATTTCACTATTCAGGATGCCCAATGCCCCAGCGTTGCAATGTCCCTTAAAACATGTAGCTTATAAAAGCAAAAATGCCATATACATACATACATAGAGCCTAAAATTTATATTGGCCAAAAAACGGTTTAGGGCGCCTCGGACACTCTGGCCCAAAAGGAAGGGACACATGTATCTAGTATTTACCGCCACGTATGTCTCTCGTCCCATATGAGGTATACCCCGAGGATAATTCCCCCTATTACCATCCAGGTCTCCAGATCATAGTCGCCTCCTGCCCCGATTCGGAATCCCAATGCCCTGACGGATTGAATGCGCAAATTCACCTGAATCTCCAGGAAATCCCAGTTACTTGCCTTGATTCCCTTCATTCTTTTGACAAGAACCAGAATCCCTTATTCATGGCTGCCTTTTCTCCTCCTCCTCTGTGTTTTCTTCTGCTATGGATTCTAGGGTTTGGGTCTTGGTCTATTGCTTATGCTTTCAAGGTTCCTTTCAGAGTAAACGATGTGCTTCCAGTTCTTCCTCGTGGGATTTCGTGGCCTGTGCTTAATAATTTCCACAGTGCCGTGGATTTGCTTCCGTATTTTGTTGGCTCTGTGTCTCCTGACAATTCCTCGATTGAGTGGAAAGGAGCGTGCTTTTATGAAAATAAAGCTAAGCTGGAGTTCACCGCTGGGGACAGGGATGATCCAGGCTTGGGAGGTGGCACTCTCTATCTCCAGGTTTGTTATTCTGCTTTCATGTGAAGTCCTGAAGGTTCTATATCTGTTTTCTCTTTACAATCTAGATAGGATGGATTGTCTAAGCTCGTAGTCAAGCAAAATAGAAGATAATTCTATGTCTATCAGGTAGTAACTGAACTATTTTGTTGGCGAATTCAGATCATATTTTATCATCTTGCATGACTTGTTTATTCATCATAAATATGCAAATTGGAGTGGTTGGGCAGCTGCATTCTGGATCAATATTACTGATTTTACTTGACAATGCGTTTTATTCTGATTGATTCATGGCCCATTTCACTGGAATTACGTCCGCATACATTGCGGACAGATACTGGAGACGATAACTTCTAGTACCTGCCTGCATACATTTTCTGGAAATTTAATGTAAACGTAAAGCTTTCCATTTATTCGTTTACTGAATCATAATACTAGCTGATTTGGACGGAAGTTGCTCGCCGCATTGGTTCATGCTTTTATGTTAAGTCTCATCCTGACTCTCCCTCCTTTCCTCATAGTGAAAGTTATAATTTACAACTGCATTATTTTGTCCTCTTTTTGGTTTGAAATATTAATTATTATCTTTCTACAGACATCTGCTGCTCACAGCTGGACCTGTATGGATCTCTACGTGTTTGCGACACCCTACCGAATTACATGGGATTACTACTTCTCTTCTCGAGAACATACCTTGAGATTTGACTCGTGGGAAGAGCCTGCAGAGATGGAATATGTATTTGCTAATCTTTTTTGTGATTCATTTTGAACATTCTATGCTAGTCGCTGAAGGTCATCATCATTGAATTGAGCAGGTAAAGCAGCATGGGGTGTCTGTGTTTCTTATGCCATCAGGGATGCTGGGAACTCTGCTATCCCTAATTGATGTCTTACCTCTATTCTCTAACACTGCGTGGGGTCAGAAGGCCAACTTAGATTTCCTAAAGAAACACATGGGAGCTACATTTGAGAAGCGTAGTAAGCCTTGGCGTGCAACTATAAATCCGGAAGATGTTCATTCTGGAGATTTCTTAGCCGTGTCAAAGATCCGTGGCAGGTGGGGAGGATTTGAGACATTGGAAAAGTGGGTAACTGGTGCATTTGCTGGTCATACTGCGGTTTGCTTAAAAGATGAAATGGGCAATTTATGGGTTGGCGAATCAGGGCATGAGAATGAAAAGGTATACTCATTGAAGTGTAATTGTTATATGCACCACTTTAAGATATCATGTTTTTGAAGTACAACCCTTCAAAATTATTTTTGTAGAAATTAAAGTCATTGTGTACTGCTCGGTTGATTGAATAGTCTAATTGCTTCATAATTGCCATCTTGAGTGACTTTCAGGGATCAGACTTCCAGTGAAGTAGAACCAAATAGAAATCATATGTTGGTTTACAGAGGCTGGAGAGTTGATTTAACTGCACTCTCTTAAAATTACATAAAGACATATATTAGGAAAAGAATTAAGAATTAGAAATGACTGTACTGTTAATTATCATGGCTTGCACTTTTTGCAAAACCGTGCAACTGAATCAGAAACTTTTATTCTATCGATCATGTAAATATTTTAGTCAAGTCCATTTTGGCTCATACTGCATGAATGTTAATCATGAGATCTTATGTAGTATACATTGCAAATATGAGTAATCAGAAATCATAATATATGGTACAGCTATTCACACACACCCACACAGAGATTTTGTTTTGGGTTTTGAAGCGTGTAAATTTTACCATAAAAATGATTCTCATTCAAATGGTTTACCTCTGCAGGGTGAGGAAATAATAGTGGTAATACCATGGGATGAATGGTGGGAACTGGCTCTTAAAGATGATTCTAATCCCCAGATAGCCTTGCTTCCACTGCATCCAGAGTTGCGTGCAAAATTTAACTCTACTGCTGCATGGGAGTATGCTCGGAGTATGTTGGGCAAGCCATATGGTTATCATAACATGATATTTAGTTGGATTGACACAGTAGCTGACAACTATCCGCCACCTCTTGATGCTCACTTGGTATTCATCTTTTCCCTTATGGGTTGTGTGTAATACAAGTATTCTATGGAGCCAGGTTTTGTGAAGCAGTTGCTTTATTACCAGGTCCAGGAAACTTTCATTGACAAACTAAGTGGCAATGAATTGTTTAAAAGTTTTTTCAAATATGAACTGGAGGGATATTCCAGGAAAGAGAAAGTGCTTTTGACTTTAGGAGGCAACGCTTTAAACACCTAAAGAATGGAGAAGGGACAATGGAATGGAGAGAATTCTCTATTTTCCTAGATTTTGATTATGCCATACCATCTTTATGGTGATGATATACATACATGCTTTATCAGTGCCAACTGAAATTCTAGATTTCACATATAAGGGTGATGTCAATTTGAAGGGTAATAAGCTTGTTTGAGTCATCTGGTCTCTTTGCAGGTAATTTCTGTCATGTCTATGTGGACTAGAGTGCAACCGGATTATGCTGCAAATATGTGGAATGAAGCTTTAAATAAGCGGTTAGGGACGGAGGTATGTATAGAGAGACGCGATTTGAACCTTTTAGATGATAAGTAGTATATCCATCTGTGCCTTTTTTTTTCTTTTTTTTTTAAATTTATTTATTTTTGCATTTCTGTCTAGACCAACCCCCCCCCCCCAAAAAAAAAAAATGTGAAGACACATATGCTTGCTGTCTTTTGCTGTGTAGGAATATCTAGTCAAAACCACAGGGGATACTGATTGCTCTCTAGATGTGTTATATTTCTCCGTAAAAGTTGTAGTGTTATTCAAAATATTGGTGTTGATTGTGTTATTAATATTGTTGATGAGTGATGACAAGACGAATTATAAATATTGGGGCAAATTAATTGTTCTTTGCGGGACTCTGCTAAATGGTTGGCTTCTTTCCCTATGCAACTGACATGGTTGAGGTTTTTTGTTTTTTTCAGTCTTTTAGATGAGAGAATTACAAATTAAACACCCTTCATCCACGAAGTTTGTGAATTGGGCTGAGCCTCAAATGTTAAAATATTTTTGCATCGGCCAAATTTCACTGAAGATGTCACCTCTAAAATTATATTTAGTGGGACGGCAAGAACTCCTGTTTGGGAGTAGCTTGCTGAAGCATAAAATGGCTGATTCTGTTGTAGTTGATAGAGTCCTCACATTTTTTCATGCCTTCAGGGTTTGGCTCTTCACGAAATTCTAGCTGAGACTGAGAAGCGAGGGATATCTTTTGATCAATTACTTACCATTCCAGAACAAGATGAATGGATATATAGTGATGGCAAATCAACAACCTGTGTTGCCTTTATTCTCTCAATGTATAAAGAGGCTGGAATATTTGGACCTGTTTCCAGCTCCATTCAAGTAACTGAGTTCACTGTAAGTCTTGATAGCCCTCGGTTACCTTACCTACTTAGTTTTGTGACTCTGGATGAAAGATGGCTAGTTACAATCAGTTGGTCATGCATATTTGTTATTATTTACAGATCCGTGATGCGTATATGCTCAAGATTTTTGAGGATAACCAAACACGACTACCAAGATGGTGCAACAGTGAGAGTGACAAGCTTCCATTCTGCCAGATTCTTGGTGAATATAGAATGGAGCTGCCTGGCTACAACACTTTGGAGCCATACAGCAATATGAACGAATACTGCCCTTCCCTTCCCCCAACTTATGACAGGCCCTCACGGTGTTAAATCCGTTCTGATAGCCATCACTAAATATATAGCTATCATATTATTTAAATTGCTTGTCTTTTATATAAGCAATAACTGGGGAGTTGGTCGGGACGCGTAATGCTGTTCTTAGGTTAGTTATAGTGTTGGGCTTGGGAAAAATACCTACGTGTCATATTTCTATTTGATAACTTGGTAAAATTAACTCGAGTTGGCCCATGCTGGTATGGCGTTGTCTACAAATGACATGCCTGTGTCTTGAGATTCTACAGAGTTGACAGAAATGTTGTATATGAGCTGCTTTGGCTGTAAAGGATTTCAAATTGATTAAATGATCCCAAAGGCCGAATCCAGCTCCATATGACCGAATTGACTAGTTTATTTAAAGAAGCCCATTTATATTGTAAACGGTTTTCATATATTTTCAAGCTTCTGATCTTGCATCTGACTTGACTTGCTAACAAGTAGAGTTCATGTCTTAACAAGTTTGACCGCTGCACGTTTAGGTTTGTTGACGAGTGGTATCTGCAAATTTCGAGATGACAAGGTCATTTAATAAAATAACAAGTTCATTTGATATTATAAATGAGTGTCATGTGCATTTATTTTTAACAATTGTAAATTTTGCAAGTTTATAGATATAATATTTTATATTGGAGATTGAATTTAATTCTAAATATAAAATTTCAATATATTTTGTCATTTAAATTTATAATTTTTTTTCTCAAAATATATCTATTAATTATAAAAGGCTGTCACTAAGAGTTGGTTTTAATGTACTACTCTTCTAGTTTTTAATATAAAGTCTATTTAACAAATTTAGTTAGATTAAAAAAGTTAGGTAAGTTAGTTAATTATAAGAGATATGATATGTTTTTCTTAAAATACTATAATCATCTTTCTTAATATCCTCATTCTCTTTTTTATTTGATTATGGTTTAGAGAGTATCCATAGTGATAATTTAAAAAAAATTGATAAATATGATAAATAGGTCTTATATTTAGGATCAAAATTAACTCAACAATTAAGTCTTATATTAAGAACTGAAGGAGTATATGATTAAATATGGTATTTTAGGCAAGTCAATACATAATTGTTATAAATAGTTAACTTAAATAAGTTTTTTAATTTCCTCAATTTATTTATCTAACTTTTATATTAATAGTAAAAAACAGTATTATTTAACTAAGAGTTATTGGCAGCTCGATGACAAAGGTGATTTTGACGAATGCAAGACCCCAAGTCAAGGCTCCCTTGAAAAATTTCTAACCTCTGTGGGGGTATTTTAAAAAAATAATAATAAAGAGTATTTTAATAATTGAAAATTTCCAAAGAGTCTCCTAATCCTAGAGGGTCATCTCAGATTCTTTTTATTTTTTGGTGAAAAGTAATTTCAGATTCTATTGGAACTTCTTTGCTATAAAATTGCTTCTATCGTATTTTAATGTGAGAATTTAATTCCATTTTTCTTATCAGTGCAAGACTTCAGCAGCAATATTAGTAATCACTTAACCTACCAAGAAAAACTAATATATCATTTACATTATATTATCATTTAATTTTTATTGAGTTATTAGTGAAGTCAAAGGCAAAAAACGTACGTATCAGGTTAATAAGATTAATTCTACATTTCTGACGAATTCTGATCTAAACACTCTGAAATATTTGTTATGTAACATCAAATAATCAATGCATCATTGCGTCAGCAAAGACTGCTTCTGGGCGACGGAATAATAATAATAATAAACCATCATCAGAAAAGTTAAGACTATTTTTAATCACTTAAATTATATGTCAAACGAACTAATGGTATATTTATATACCAAGGCTGTTCTATTTCTTCCTCGGAAGCTTCTTTGGAAAAGGACTCACAAGATTTTTATAATAAACTTAAAATGATTACTTTTTTAAAGTTGTCAAGCCTCCGTGTTTGACCCTTCTTCCAACTGCCATCGAACATTCTGATCAAGATTTCTCAGTATAAACGTCAGGCATGATGCTTAGCATCAATACAAATGATACATAATTTAATTATTGTTTGTTTATGCTTCTAAATGTGTTTTGATATATATTTTTTCTCGTTTTAAACATAGGAGCTAAGTAATTAATTTATAAATATTACGAACATTAATACTGTTAAATGGTTGTGTGTAAGTTTTTTGTTCTGAGTAAGTGTTGTGCTGGGCTGTGTTGTTACTTGTTAGGTTTTATGAAGTGTTTTTTCTTTTATGGTTTCCTTGTGATTTTAATATTTTTTGTGATTAATAAAATGGACTTATGTTTTTCAAAAAGTTAATTAAATTAGTTAATTATAATAAATTTGTGTTAGTTTCTTTGAAATATTCACTTTAATCATTATCCTAATTAATAAAAACACCCTTTGAGACATAAAAAAAAAGAAGAAGCACACTTTGATATATGCAATTAATATGAAAAACTTGAGAAAAACTTATAATTTTAAAAAGTAATGTGAATTAACTTTTTGTATTTAGAATTAAAAGAAACCCTTAATTAACTTTTACATTTAGAATTAGAAAATGTAATTTTTTTTGGAGTCAATATGTTAATTGATGTAGCTCGAGCTGTGAAATACTAATGTGAACACTTCATTTTGAAACCAACACGTCTCTTTAGATGGGTTTCTGTCATGGTTTGATTATGTAACTCGTAGGTAACAGGGCAGCGTCATATCCCTCGATTTTAATTAGTGTTTCAATAATGAATATAAATGAAATTATTTTTAAAGAAATTCGTAAATAACTACCACTTTATTTGGTTCAATTTCTGTTGATTTATCTTGTTCTCAATGACAAACCATACCCAGCCTCGTCAGCCATAAAATTTTAAAAATAACAATGTCTATTTAAACAACCTTTGTTTTTTTTAATAATAATCTTTTTTGGTTCCCCGGAAGATATGAAAACTGACTAAGCGAAGACATAGAAAATATGAAGAAGTTTGATTTTGCAAGGCATTGAAAATACGGCTTCCTCTCATGTGATTTAAAGGGTATTTAGATAAGATCAAAATCATAGTTTCATAAATGCTTTTAGAGTATACGAAGTAAATATGTAAAAGAATTTGTCTCGATTTGCAGAAAAGTACTTCTGAAAAGTGATTATTGAGGTATCCAAAGAAGTGTTTAGATATATCTAAAAGTACTCTTAAAAGTGTTTTCATGCAAATTGACATAAAATTCTTATTATATATTTATTTTGTATACAGTAAAATGATAATTTAATTTTTACTCAAATATTCCTTTAAACATACATAATTGATATTTGACATCATATATACTTAATAATTAGAGTATACGAAACAAAACTACCTGTTGGCAAAATAAAAATTGATACACACGTATACGCTGGTAAAAAAACACACTCAACATTTTTTTAGCAAGTCAACATTTGTTACTTGTCAACGTCAGAAACCTCTAAGCTTCTTCCACGTGTCCTACTTCCCCAATTGTTGAGCCTACCTTTTTTTTCTTTCTTTCTTTCTTTTTTATTGAGGACCATCTGGTTCAACTACTATGCTTCCTCATTATTTTATTTTATTTTATTTTTGTTTACTTAAAGATGCTTCCTCTTCTAAAAATGTAACCTTTTTTAGGCCAACGGAAAGCTTAACCTTTCTATCACAAACATAAAAGGTAACACGAGCCTACGACGAAGGCGGTTCCGTTCCAAGCTGCGTGGACAGAACAAGATATCCATATATAAAAGTCAAACAATGTGTTCCCCGTTTCTTAATTAAAACTCCAGCCTCCACGCAGTCACAAATTTTGAACAAATCACAACAACACACACAATTTACACAAAAACATCATTTATTTATTTATTTTTGACACTTTTTACCTCAAGAATTAAGCCGCATATTAAGAATTGAATAATAAGTTCATACACAATAAATCATTTTCCTTCACAGAAATAAAAATGAGAAATCTGGCTTCACAAAATATATTAGAGAATTGAACATAGTTTTCACCCCAAAAAAAAAACAATTTTTTTACCTTGTAATCCCGCGTATGGTCGTGAAGCAGAATAATTCCATAGAAAACGACAACGTTTGCAGAGATTGCGCGTCCTCCTTGTACTCGCCGAGAACTGGCTCTAATGAAACCAATCGTACACGCGAACTTTTCAACGTCCGCCTCCCCATCAAAATAATTTTCTTTCGACCCAGATTTCTGTAGGCTTAAATTTGCCGTCTTCTCCGTTTCAATTCTCTGCCCTTTATATTCTCTCCTTCCCCATTTTCCTTCTTCATTTTCTCTCTGACCAATCACTTTCTTCCTGCCTGAGCTTCTGTTGAAAATGAGACTCCGTCTCTTTTTCGCTATTTTTCTGTCTCTCTCTGTCTCCTTCACGCCAATTTCAGCTCGATTGTTCCCTAATGTATCATCTATACCTCCTTGGCTTACCAAAAACGTGCCTCCTGGCGTTTGGGACGCCTTCCGGAACTTCACCGGCTGCCGTCCGGGAAGTAGCTACGATGGGTTGGGTAAACTCAAGAACTACTTCCACCACTTTGGATACATCCCCAACACCCCTTTGAACTTCACCGACGACTTCGATGACGCCCTTGAAGCCGCTATTAAAACTTACCAGAAGAACTTCAATCTCAACGTCACAGGCGAGCTCGATGCGGATACCCTTCAGCAGATTGTTCGCCCTCGATGCGGCGTCGCTGATATAATCAACGGCACCAGCACCATGAACTCCGGCAAGGAGAATACCTCCGCCGCCAGTAAAGACTTGCACTTCCACACTGTCTCTCACTACACTTTCTTCCCCGGCACTCCGCGGTGGCCCCCCGGGACCCAAACTCTGACCTACGCGTTCTTGCCGGGCAACGGTCTCGCAGACGACGTCAAGAACGTGTTTGCCACCGCCTTTGATCGATGGTCGGAGGTAACGACGTTGAGTTTCACGGAAGCGTCGTCGTACGAAATGGCGGACATCAGGATAGCATTCTACACAGGAGACCACGGAGACGGAGAGCCATTCGACGGACCTTTGGGGACGCTGGCCCACGCGTTTTCGCCAACGAACGGAAGATTCCATCTGGACGGGGCGGAGAACTGGGTGGTATCCGGCGATGTGTCGCAATCGACGCTTTCAACCGCGGTGGATCTGGAATCGGTGGCGGTACACGAGATCGGGCACTTATTAGGGTTGGGACACTCATCTGTGGAGGAGGCGATCATGTACCCGACGATATCGTCGAGGACGAGGAAGGTGACTCTGGCGGACGATGATATTCAGGGGATTCAACAGCTTTACGGGTCAAATCCCGATTACAATGGCTCCACGACGGTGACGACGGCTCGTGAGAACGACTCCAGCCACGGAGGCCGGCGACTCAGTGTGGTGGAATCAACGCGGGGGCTACTCCTTCTGGTGGCCGTTGGATTAGCCCATTTGATTT